ACCTCATGTTGATATGTCTATCACACAAAAAAAATTTCTCTTCCTTTTCCACCCTTCTTCTGTGTTACTTGGAGTCTCACATGGCCGATCATTGGTTGGCCAGTCTCTTCCCTCGTCAGTTTATATTAGATAGATGATATATATGATTGTTGATTGAGATGGTACACTCGACCCTATACCCCGACTCCATACAAAAACATTAATCTTATAAAAGGAGTCGTCACTTAGTACTATGGTCTAGTGGTATTCTTTTTCACTTGTAAGTGAGGAAAAAAAAAATTATAAAAGGAATCTATAGTTTTGCCAAGGAGAGGATACATTTTTGTATGGCTCAGTCTCGATTCTTTTTATGCCTTAAAGATATAAAACTTTATAATTTATTTGGTGAATGCCAAATACAACAAGTGAGATAATCTTTAGTGAATGACTCAACTAAAACCTAGAAGCCTAAGTGTAAAAACTAATCTTAATCTAAATGATTTAAGTTGCAGTAAAATCAAAGAGGCCGGAATCACTTGACTTTACCTCGGACTAGAATAGCAACTTGATTATGAAAAAGCACTTCAATTGGGATTTACAAGGTCTTAAACTAACATTTTCGCAACCCAAATGCTCCGAGGTTTGAATTCGAAAATGGATTGCCGTACCTAGGTCCGATTTGAAGAAAGTTAGGGTTTCATTATAAAATTAATTGGCAATATAAGGAGTGGTCTAACTATACTTATAAGCACATACAAGGAAGGTCCCTTCTCCCATCAATGTCTAGATCCCCTCACTAATAGGGTTTATATCTCTAGGTATGTCTACTTTGATAAATCATTTGTTTTATATCATAAAACCAATTGACAATATGAGAAGGAGCCCAACTACTTATATGTTATAAGCACATTTGTGGTCCCTTATTCCATTAATGTGGGACTGCATTCTCAGCACGTCCCCCTTACATGTGACGAATTTTCAAGCCTAGTATATGGACAACACAAATGGGGGTGATGTGGAGTGCATGGGGTTGTGGGGCGTCACATGTGAGACAACCTGCTCTAATACCATAAAGAAAGTTGGAGGTTCTAGCATAAACCAATTGGCACTATGAGGAGGAGGTTGCCCAACTACTTATAAGCACATGAGAAGGTTCATTTTCCTATCAATGTGAGATTTAATATTGTCAACACAATTCTCATTCAGGCTCAAGCAACGAGGACAGGCGAATACATGAGCTTAGAAGCAAAGGATGAACAACACTTCATTAGAGCAACAAGCCCTTTGTCATGTTATGAGATTAACCATGTTACAGTCACTCGTATGATTACACAACCGATTAATCTTATGGTTTACTGTTAAACAGACACGCTCACCATATCAGTTTATGATGTGAAACCGTTGATGGTTGCCATTTGCCAAAAGAGAAGCTACTGGCTACCTATGCTCCACGACATCTCTCAACTGTGATTAAAGAGTCACCCAAATATGAGCTAAACCCTACCAGCTGTAGGTTGTCACATCTTTTGGTAGATGAATCTTTTTCTCTTTGACAGTCCAACGATGCAGCTATTTGCTCGTTATGTCTGTTGAAAGCGAATGTTGTGATTGTGGTGTCTCAGTTAGTCACAGTCTCAACTCAAAAGATCAACCCACTTCCCTTTAACTTCACTTCCTAAACATCCCAACAAATTAATGCAACAAAAGAAAGCACTCCCCACCAACTTGGAATTTTCCAATCTTTCTAATTATCTCCTAACTAAAGTAGTTCAGTGACATTTTGATGGTGTCCCCAAGTTACTAACACACACCTGCCTCATCTCTAGGTATGTACGACTCTCATTGAGATATTGTTCATAGGGCCAATCTGATTTGGATCTATATCAGCTGGATAATAGTAGATCATTTTCCCAGAGGTCCACATGGATTTAAGTATAATAAAAAATCTTATCGCTTGATGCTTTCTACTTATAAGATAAGGTTTGAGAACATTTCAATTGCTAATCGTATACATGGCAATGAGACATGATTAGACGCGTGAAGTGGGAAATGTGACTGTGATGTTCTTGGGGGACTTGGCAATGAGAACACAATGTCACAGTATCTTTGGAGGGAAGGAGTTATCTACACTATGAAATGTTATCGTTGAAATCAATAATACAATTATTGTGTATTATAACTTTTCTCATAAGACATTATATTATTGGTTTGAGACACTACAATGGTGTTTCTCCATTTGGAGAAGCCAACTTGGTCAACTGGAGTCACCAAAATTTCAAAAATTTCATTATTTAAAAAAAGTTTTCAGTCGTCGTATGATATTATTAATTAATAAAAGTGTTATAATATGAGTTATACCATCAAAGTTGATATTTTCATAAGAGTGGGATAACAAACGTTCACACCAAAAACTTTCTAAAGCAAAATCATAACACATATGGGGCACCTAACTGCAACAGGAATCTCAAATGTTCTACTTATTAGAACTAGTTTGAAGCTAGTTTATAAGGAGTGGATGTTAAAATATTCCAAGACAAGTGCTTGAGATCTTAAGCCACTAAATTAGGGTTTAGAATTTAAGGAAGAGTCATAATTTGTTCGTGAAAGTAGCAAAGCTATAGATATATTGGTCATGGGAAGCATGGGGCAGGAGACTTGTCAAGTGGAAAAGAATGGTGAGGGAACAAAAAGGGAAGCTCTATATTACTAGGGTTTGCATTAATTTCTATGCTTCTTGGTTGGCACAAGCACGCTTGATCGTTCGGGCCATGCATTGCATGCAGTCCCATAATATGTATGCGTAAAATTAGTACGTCGTATATCTCGTTAGGTGTTGATATGTGAAGAAGCATGTATATTAGATTGTGAGAAATTCTCAAGTGTAATCAGAGAGATGTATTCCACTATTCTTGTATCTCTTATCACGTGACATGATCATTCAATGAGAGCATAGAAAATGAAAATCAGGGATATGTCTCCGGTTGCATGGTGAATTTGTTAATTAAGAAGAGGTTCTACTGTATCATTGACGCACTCTATTAATGTTTTCTCCTAGCTAAGAGTGAGATATGTCTATAGTGATCAGCTTAATTTATCGAGAATAATATTTTTGTGTAAGTGCAAATTTTAAGTTGTAAATATTGTTTTGAGTATGTTTTTTTTTGTGTTTCCTATAATATAGCACAAGATGGGAACATGATCTAACAAGGTGGATTTTGTGGTGTTGATCAGCAACTATATAAAATTACAAAGTACGAGAAATCCAAGCGTCAAGTATTTATATATGTACCTAATCAAGCATGCAGTCTTATATATTCTTTATATATATATATATATATATACATGTATAAATCTTGTACAGATCTTGTAAATAAGTTTAAGGAATCCATCCAGAAGCCCCCTGAAATTCTGGAAGAGAAATAGTTTAATTTGTTAAGCCATCTATATCCTTAACATACAGAGATAATATAAATATATAAATATATAGACACACACATATATAGTATAGTTAGTTCATTCAGTGGACAAATTACAGCCTATAATAATGGCGGACAGAGGTGGTCTTGAGATTGGGATGAAAAACTCCAATCCTTGTCAAAGCTTATCAGGTGATTGAACAGGGAGACAAAGCTCATGTGTCTGCTTTGTCATCTTTGTTCTCAATGGGAGCCCCACTCCTTGTAAACCCATTTACGGCCGACACTTGTCACCCTACCATATACTGCCTCATCAGATCCTTCCTATGTGCCTCTCTATAAGGCAAAGCTATAGCTAGCTCAAGTTCTTCCATGACCAATATTGCAACCTTGAAATTTTTCATACCAACGTACAAGTATTTCTCTCATCAGATCCTTCCTATGTGCCTCTCTATAAGGCAAAGCTATAGCTAGCTCAAGTTCTTCCATGACCAATATTGCAACCTTGAAATTTTTCATACCAACGTACAAGTATCTCTCTCTCTCTCTCTCTGTGCCTAAAATAGTCTCAACAGTTGCCGTCTAACATGAAGGGAGAGTTGTCCTCCGTTCGAACGCCCAAGCTCCGGTCGTGGGAGAAATGCTCGAGGTTGATGAGGGAGCAGCGGACGCGATTTTATATCATGTGGAGGTGCACTGTCATACTTCTCTGCTGGGATGAGTGACGAGGATGTGACTGTTTTTACTAGGATGAAGGGGGTTGAAGTTGTGTTCTTGTGATTTTGAATTTCCTATTGAAATTGGATCCAAATAGTTTACAAGAATGTAAAGCTTCGAGTGTCTGGGATGAGTTTAAATACTTATACCATGTAATTAAATGAATGCTACATGTAAAATTCAATGATAGTACTACATGTAATGTACTATATTTACTGAGCTCATTTAGACTCCACATATTTAATAGAGGTGACATTTTCTTTATCTACAAATATCACCCTCCAGAGTAGGTTAATTGTTGTGAATTCCGCACTGATGCATTCTTTTGAACCATACTTTAGCCTACCTTTTAATTCGGTGATCAAATGTACGATGTCGTCTAATGTGGTATTAGAGTTGCATGAGAGATTAATCTATCATCAATATGTGTTGATATATTAAAAAAAAGAAATAAAGAAATAAAAGAATAGCTTAATTGCTGTGCCAGAAAAGCTTATTACAAATTTGATGCCAATAAAGCTTGTTTAGTATCGTGGCCATTTATTGCAGAGCATGCAAGTTGCAAATTTGTAAATTCATGGTGGAAGCGAGAATTTATCACTACGCCTGAGGTCTCTTGTTTGATTCCATTTTCCCTCAATATCGCTTGTATCGAAGAAAAATATTGAAGGAATCCTCAGCGAGCTAGCATGCATCACGCATGTTCTTTCTTGGTCTTGAAGTAATATCTTCGTTTAAACTCGAACTAGGAACACAACGGAAATTGAAAGTCGAGAATTCAAGGAACAAACTGTCTTCATTTATTTACTTCTTATTGTACATATCTGAATATTTCTGTAAACTTGCATAGCAGAAAGAATCGTGCATAGAAACCTTGCACTTGTTATTGAACTACTTTCTCCATATACCGTCGTTTACAAAACAAAAAGTAGAGCCAGCCAAAGAGGCAGCTCGACCTATCGATTTAATATGAACCAAAAAAACAAGTGGAAATAATTAGTAAGGTACTAAACTTACAATGATGTCCTCCTATGCAATCTAATGTAGAACTCCACCTCTCGAAACCTACCCGCCACCCAGAGAACAAAAATCGAAAACAAAAACAAACAACTTTCATAGATGCAAGTCAAAGCCAATTCCCTGAGGAGCAACCGGATCAGGAAATGACGAATGAGCAAGATGAATCATCTCTTATTTCCAAGACGGGGTACGCCAGAAGTCCGTTGCAATGTTGCCGAGGACCAATCATCAGCAGATTTCTTGAGGGTTAGTCCTTGCTTACTTTTTGGCCTGCCTAGGGCATCATCACAATAAGAACAAGAAAACATTAGTCAGCTTCGACCACTGGACAAAAATTGAACATTAAAAAAAGAGTGAATGTTGAGAGGCAAATCAACTGCCCAGACCCCTTCGAAAATAACAGATTGAAAAGGGGGAATACATTTTGTCCAGTGGCAGGTCCCTTGTTCACATTTAACCTCCGAGTCGATGGAGCCGTGCCACTGATGAAGCAGCTGCAGCTGCAGTGACACGTATTCTGCAAGGAAGAAGAAGATTAAGCCACTTTCAAATTATAACTTTCGTACATAATGTCAACCAACTATTTGATTTTGTCACTCTATGATCCCTTTTATGTACATCAACATATTCATCTGTTTCATCCACAATCTCCTCCTGCATTTTTCAAGACAATCATCACTACAACCAAATAAACAATTTTCATTAACTGAAAGCACGAGAATATCAGTTGCGTGTACATTACCTGCAGGAGTTCTTCAAATACATCTTCCAGAGTGATAATCCCAATGACTTCACCCTCCTCGATATCCTCTGATACCTGGAGCAAACCATTTGTTGCTTTCTCACTATGGGGTGAAAAAGTTTCCTTGTGTCTATGAAGGGGCCTTGGTATCCTGGGTATAACAACAACAACACTGTCCGGCTTTCCATCTTGCTTGGATAGCAAGGGAGTAGTCAGTTGGGAGTCCGTGCCAGTGTCTCCGTTCCATTCATCTCTCCTTCCATCAATGGTTGGTTGAGGATTTTTTATCAAGATATGGATGGGAAAATAAGACACAGGAATGGAGATATCAGCGCTCTTAACTTGTTTTTTTTTTTTTTTTTTTTAGAATGTAAGTTACAAAATTACCCTTTATAGTGGTAAATTCTTTCACACACATCTATCTCCTCCATCCTTTATCGTTGCTACCTTCTCTCTTTTTCTCTACAATTCCCTCACGCGCCATCGCCTCGCATTCAAACCCTTTGTCTCCTCTTCCAAACCCTCACTCCTGGCGATGAAGGACCGGCCTCCTTCCTCGTACGACTCCGTCTACATCCCTCCCGACCATTGCCTCTGCTCCATCATCACCACCCCTAATTATACCTCCCATGTTTCAATCTGCTCCAAGCTCCAGGAAAAACCAGACTGCTGCTGTTGTTGCTGCTCTCAACCGGAGGAGCAGCACCAATGGTGCTCTGGTGTAGTACCAAAATTAGCAGCAGCAGGAGTATAAACCCAAGCTATAGCAGACTTCTATTTACGACAACAACGTTTCCGATAAAGGCTTTGATCGCAAAGTTGAGTTGTCACCGCATCCGGTGATGTTTCTATACGTGGATTGTGTACTCGTAGAGTTGTTAATTGGGAAGTATGCGTGTTTACTAAGTGTGAATTGGTGATTGAGTTTTGTTGATGCACAAAATCAGTGAGGACTTTGGTACAACAGAAAGTGTTAAGTTTGTAACCTTCGCTAGATTGCTCCGGTCACTAGCGTGGATAAGTATGTAAATGGATAGGGACAGGGAAGCAAACACAAGATGTACATGGTTCACCCAGATTGGCTACGTCCACGGAGTAAAGGAGTTCTCATTAATTATGAAGGGTTTACACAAGTACATAGGTTCAAGCTCTCCTTTAGTAAGTACCAGTGAATGATTTAGTACAAATGACATTAGGAAATATTGTGAGAGAATGATCTCTATTTATAGAAGAGAGTTTCTAGTTTCATTCTGACATTGACACGTGTCATGTTGTGATTGGCTTCTGATGTTGACACGTGTCGCGCTATGATTGGCTTCTGATGTCGACACGTGTCGCGCTGTGATTGGCCTCCTGGTTGTAGGGAAACTCTTCTGGGTCCTTGACGGTATAACGTTGACCGGTGCTCAATAGTTTCTAGATTGGTCAAGTATGGTATAAACAGTGCTCCCCTAAGTTCCCGAGTGAGGGAAGCTCCTTAGTTGGGGACTTGTAAGATCTAAGCCATTGAGTAATCACGAAACTTCTGTTGGAAATGTGCCCTAAAGCCAATCATATGATGATACTTTACGGACATTTCACATGTTAAACTAATCTAGTTTAATATAAAGGGCAAAGATTATTGTTTGAGCCGTCTCATATAAATGTTATATGCTTAAACGATAAAGTCCAAGGAATATGTGATTGGGAGAATGTAATCTAATGAAGTTAGATTCATGAGACCATTCTTTCGTAGACACATCCTAAATGTTCCTGATCATAGGATTGCCAATTGGGCATTGACAGTCCATCAAGATCGGTACGTGCTATGTCTTCTCTCAGGGAGAGTGACTAGTCTCGAGTCATTGGTGTGTGTGACATCAAGACAAGTACGTAGGTGCTCAATAGAGAATGAGTTCACTGAACGTGATCGACGAAGAGTTCTCATACTCATGTCACATGAGAACTCATGGTTGGGATAATGCAAAGTAGTCCTTTGACCTGAGGCATCATAGTTGTCTTGTGGTTAAGTCCTTGATCTTTGATTATGTCAAAGTCACTCCATCAGGAGGGTGTCCACGGCATCGTTGGGGTTAAGCCACTTAGCCATGGAGGCAAGTGAATGCGCAACAAGGGATCTCTAACCTTCAAACTGTTTGAGGGAGAATACTCTATGATATGATTTAGAATCTCTGGCCAGAGTATGAATGAGATTTAGAAAAGTCGTTCTAAATCACATTCAAGGAAATCATATAAGCACACGAATCACATTGGATAGTAGACATGAACATATAAACTATCAAACCAAACAATGTGGTCAAGAGTATTGTAGATTAGAGAAAGACCGTATTGCATTTGTAATCCCAAACTGAATAGGTTTCTCTGACCTCTTTCTGATTAGCTTGGGTAACCATGATATGCTGCTAGGTGTCACTCATGGTTTGTGGAAGCCCTAAACGTGTGTAATCACTAAAGGGAGAATTGAAAGTAAGTTTCAAATTCACAATCGATGTAAAAATGGTTTTAATCGCCCACTGCCTCGCTAAAAGGAACCTAATGGATCGCACACCATAAGAGGTGGAGATTGGAGATTAATCGGAGATGAGTAAGAATGATTAAATGGTTTAATCATTTATTTATGGCAAGGATTAATTAATATGTTAATTAATCAAACGAATAAGTTCGTTAAAGACCTCGGGGATAGTTTTGGACCTTAAGGCCCAATGGGCTTCGAACGTCAAGTCCATTGACTTAAGTTGTATGACAACTTAATGAATAATGATTCACAAAGGCCTAATTAGCCCAAAATACCCTAGGGCCGGCCATGATGCTAAGGGTAGTGAACTTGGACTTATTTACAAGTTTGCCACTCAAATGAATAAAGGTATAAATATGACTTTATAGCCTAAAATTCATCAGGGTTTTGTTTTGGGGAAAATTGGAGAGAACATGTCTCTCCATTTCTCTCTAAAGAGGCCGGCCACCTTGGGGGGTACATCTAGCAATCCTACTACTCCAAGGTCACTCATATCTTCTCCAATCTCTCCTTGGTGAAGAGACTTAGAGGTTCCCTATTTTGGGAACTTGGAGAAACCTATTCTTCCATCCAAATCCATAGATTTAAGATGCAAGGAATGAAGGCCCTCTCTTTGGGTGATTAGCCTTTGCTTATGCAAAGAGGAATCTTCAAAGGTATAAATTTCCACTCACTTTGTTTTGAGTTGATTAATGGTTCACCAATCTACTAGGCTTTGAATTTCTTGGTTAATGTTTTGTTTTTAAGTGCATGCTAGCATGATTCCGCCTTTAATTGTTAATTGCATGCTATATGATGTTGCTTAAATGAACATGTTTTCACAAAAACATCCTTCAACTTCTAAGTACCGAAGTGTGGTATCATTTTCACTTGCCTTATCTGTCTCATACCAGGGGTTCCAGGCAGTCAGTTCCTGACTGGAAGCTTGATTCCAAATGTTGACTGATTGCTCTCTTTCTCCTTGTTTTGCAGGTAAGAATAAGGGCAAAGGAAAAGACAGGGAAAAAGCATGATATGGGATACTCTTGCTTTTGACCCTGATGATATGAGATACTCTTTCTCTGGTGTGGTTGGTTTGCATAGGTATTATTGGGGGGAAGAAAACTGAGTATTTCGAGAGGCTTCGTTGGGAGTGCCTTATCAGATATGAGGAAGGGTTGAGCATTTTTGCAGGTCTGCCTGTCCGTGGAGGATGAAGGTCAACATATATAGGAGTCTCCCTAACAACAAATAGTAATGCTATTCCTTTACCCTTCTTGGTCGAAAGCTTCACGTGTTTTAACTTTGTCAGAGCACTTTGAAAAAGTGGTATGTGGTATATGGAAAGTTGATGTTGCGTGTGAAGATTGCAGACAAGCTTTATCCAAGAAAATCTGGCTCTCGAAGTTCGGAGAGCGATGCCTCTTCGGTTTTCGAACAAGCAATCCTGTCGGGGATCTGGCTCTCGAGATTTAGAGAGCGGTGCCTCTTCAATTTTTGAGAAAGCAATCCTGTTGGGAGTCTGGCTCTTGAGATTCGGAGAGCGGTGCCTCTTCAATTTTTGAGAAAGAAATCCTGTTGGGAGTCTGGCTCTCGAGATTCGGAGGGCGGTGCCTCTTTGATTTTTGAGCGAGTAATAATGTTATTCCTTTACCTTTCTTGGTCATAGCAATGTAGTAGGAGCTGTAAGCTTCACATGTTTTAACTTTGTCAGAGCGCTTTGAAAAAGTGGTATGTGGTATCTGGAAAGCTGATGTTACGTGTGAAGATTACAGACAAGCTTTATCCAAGTAAATCTGTCTCTCGAGAAAGTAATCCTGTTGGAAGTCTGGCTCTCGAGAAAGTAATCCTGTTGGGAGTCTAGCTCTCGAGATTTTGAAAGTGGTTCCTCTTTGATTTTTTAGCAAGCAATCTTGTTGGGAGTGTTTTCTTGAATGTGAGTAAAGGTTGGACATTTTTGCTAGTCTGCCTTGCCACGGAGCACGGAGGTTGACACACATTGGTACTTTCTAGTTATCAAGCAGTGGTGTTGTTCCTTTACCCTTGTGGGTAATAGTAGGGTAGCTGGACCTTCAAAATTTATGTGTCTAAACTTTGTCAGAGATCTTTGGCAAATTTATCTATGGTACTCGATGAGCTGATGTTGCGTGTGGAAAGTGGTGCCTCTTCGAAATCCGAAGAGTGGTGCCTCTTCGATTTTTGAACCAACGGCCCTGTTGCCCTTTCTTTTATAAGGGCACCAATTGTGTGCAAGGAGTACATTCAGAGAGTAATTGCTTGTAGGAATTTTCCCCTTACTTCAGAGATTTATTGCACCTCATTTCTCCTTCATCATTTCTGAGAATGTCTGGCCCATCCGACAGTCGTTTTGACTTGAACTTTGGTGAAGAGGCAGCCATGCCTTCTCAAGACAACATATGGCGCCCATCCTTCTTATCCCATACTGGTTCTCTTACCGTTGGGGACTCTGTGATGAAAAATGATATGATCGCTGCGGTGGTGGCCAGGAACCTTTTCACTCTCAAAGATAACAGACTACTTTCCAAACGGTCTGTTGAGTTGGCTGTTAAGGATTCTCTAGCTCTCAGTGTTCAGTATGCAGGTTCTGTGTCTAATATGGCCCAACGCTTATTTGCTCGAACCCGCCAAGTTGAATCATTGGCGACTGAAGTGATAAGTCTCAAACAGTTGCACAGGCTCGCACATGACTATGCTACAAACATGAAGAGGTAGCTCGACCAACTGCAGGAATCTGATGGTCAGATTTTA